ATAAATTTGGTTGCATTCGTCTCAAAAAGTTGCTGTAACCCCGTAAGTACCCAGCGCATCGTAGCGCACTGATGTCGGTTCAAGGATAGAGAACATGGGTCCCAATAAAACCAATGTCATTTACATCAATATAAATATAATATTATATCAATATAATAGGTTAGGGTTATGGTTAGGGTTATTGTTAGGGTTAGGGTTAGGTTTAGGGTTAGGGTTAGGGTTATAATTAGGGTAAGGATTAGGGTTAGGCACATTGGTTTTATTGGGACCCATGTTCTCTATCCTTGGGCCCTGCGGTCTCTGTGTTAATGCTATTGCACGCGCGTGTGCACGTAGACTATAGCTGTGAACCAGGTGTAACCTGTAATGTTGTAACCTAGCCTTGACCTATTCTCAGCACTCGTTGTTGTAGTTTGAGAAGAAATATGCAAGTTACACAGTGCATGCGCGTAGTGGCATACTATACAGCATGTGCTATATGCTAGATATTTGGCCTTTATACTATAGCGTAGTGAAGAGATTTTACTCAGTGAATTGGTTTTATAGTCTCAGAAAGACGCGTAGCTTCAGTGCCTGGCGCCTAGAGTTGTCATTACATTACTTCGTGAGATCTGTTGGTAGCTGTCTGGCAGCCGTGACGTCACCCACCCGTGAAATGTTAAACGCAATTATCAGCAAAGTGTATTATTTTTTTAAACTATTAAAATTAATATTACGAATCATATCGGTGATACGCTAATATAAATTCGCCATTCAGCGGCAAAAAATCGCAACAACGGCTTCTATTGCGCATATATCGAAAAGGTACACACTATAATTAGTTATTCTCTATTGAATAGTTTTAAGATTGTAATACTGATATAGTTCTAGTATAATTATTATTATACTAATTAATCATTGTAGCAAGCGCAAAAAACCCATGACAATACCGTATACAAGAAACGTATTGTTACTGATATACAAGAATAGCATTTCGTACGATTCGTTCCAGTACGGCTGGAGTCGCGTCAACATATTAGTTTAATGGCGAGTAAACGCCATAAATTCGCTATTTAACGGCAAAAATCGCAACGATAACTGACTCATATAGCACACATATCGAAAGGGTACACACACACACGTAGTTGAATGTTCTCCATTGAATATTTTTTAGATCGTACTACTGATATGCATCTAGTACAAAATTCTGTTAGATTTGCAATTTTTATAGCAAGCGCAAGAAAGTACCACAATACCATATACAGGAAAAGCATTGTTGCGGAGTATTTCGTACATGATTTGTTCCAGTAAGGCTGGAATCGCGTCAACATATTAGTTTAATGGCGAGTAAACGCAACATTAGTAATCTAACGGCGTATATCAGATTGCAAAATCCCTAATCAGATTGCAATTATCTGACCCGACGAAGCGACAATCAGGTGGTAAGTGGATTAGATCAAGTCTTAATTAGAGGATGATCGATGGCCAGGTGGTATAGTGAGCGCCGAGTAAACATCGCGGAGAAAGTGATTGTGTGTCAGTAACATTAATAAACGCTTT